TTACTGAGAATAATTTGTCATTCAAACACAAGAAATTACATATGGACATCCGGTAGTATTACCATTGCTTGGGTGAGGACTTCCAGTTTGATGACATCTACTCCGCTACGAGAATAAACATTAACATGACCTAAGTGTTGTTTTTAGGGAAACACTCTTGTTTTGGGGGAAGTACTCTACTCGGTGCTAATAAGCGGTGTTATTTGGTGTTTGTTTTGATACCTAGGCCTGGGGGCGGGGGTCCAAAAAAAACTCCTAAATAGGGCAGTATTCAATCAAATACCTTTTTTACGCAGCAATCCCTGGATTGTTATAAAAGCACCTACGTCTGTACTGTTATATTATCTTTTAGTAGATAGTGAGAAAATTTCAACATTCCATCCATATGTATAATTTGAAATGTGACTGGAAACATCTCAGCTCTCTTTTATGATTAAAACCCACCTCAGCCTCCGCCCACTGAGGTCAGGTTCAACAATTCATTAATGTTGTTTTACGTATATACTTTTTATCGTATAGAAACACATAACACATGCGACCCCTATAGTGGCCAAGAGGGGATATTGCTAAATCGCGAGAAAGCGACAGGGTGAGAAAGCGATAGAGCGATAAAGCGAAAAAGCGAGAAAGCGATGTCCCCTCTCGGCCACCATAAGCATGGGTTGCTGAAGACCTTTTCTACCCCGAATCTTCACCGGTCGGGGAAACGAGATGAGTTTTTACGAACGTGTAAAGGCAATTGATCATACCGATGAGTTAATACATGTTGCAACTGCAAAATTAATTTTCGAAGACACCGTTCCGACTTAAGAGAATACAAACTTTTTAATAGTCTTGTCATTTTTAACAAGCAAAGACATACTTTTACTGGACTAACTGAGGCCACTAACCCGTGTCTACGGCGACCAGTGGTCTAACGCTGGGGAAGAACATTACGGTTCATGCCACAGCAAGAATCAATCGGTCGTGGGTTCGAATCCTAGATTCGAAACGATTACGATCCTTGATTCGTGGGCATCAAACGCATGACTGGGGGTTTAACGAACATGGCGCCTTCCACATGTTTCATTTTTAGTCTTTCTTGTCACGTTCAACAGCTATAACTGAAACATGGCGGTGTTGAACCCAAATCTGTAATAAACTATGTCATGTTGTTCTACACGGGATGTATGTGCGCGACAGCTAAGATATATCGGTCGGCTATAGCTATTACATGAATGAATTGCATGACGTTTCAAATGTTTACACACTCCATTAAAACAAATGTATCGGCCAAATCGCTTTCAAATAAAATTAATTTGGCGCCAAGTAGAAACAACTCTTTGAGAGAAAGCATAAAATACACAGTGTAAATATATGAAATACACAAAGCAAATACATCTTGTTGACGTTCTAAACCGAAGATTTTGATACAGGATAGACAGAAACCATTACAGTCTAGAGTATTTTGACATGGTTTACGGAGGAAGTATCTACAAGAGATGTAAGCCTAATTCGACAAATTGAATTCTGATTATTCTGAAACCACACTATTGAAATAAACTGAACACGTCAATTCTTGAAGGAGCTAAGCGGAGCTGTGCTTCCCCGTGCAACGCGCTTTAACACAACCTTTTCATCATCGCTTTACACCCACTTCCAACAATCACATTCCGCAGTGGAAAGTAGTCCGCTGTTTGCTCAGAGTAATCAAATTTCTTTCGGGCGGCACGTAAAGAGACGAGGGCCACTTTATGAGAGAAGCACGCGGATGAGATTGGGGGGAGGGGAAATCAACACACATGCTTTTATGGATGATAGTTTGATCGTGAAAATTGAGGAAAAACATCACCTCAGATCAAGGTACCACGGTGATCATAATTACAATGTTAATGATGTCCCAAAATTAGGAATGCTTTCATGTATAATAAAATAGCTATGCTTTTGACGTCTTGATAGAGTTGATATGACGTTAGGGCAACTTGATAAAATGATTAATTGTACAGCGAATTATGCCTGATGACCCAGGCCACCCAATCTCCAATTTGATGTGATCGCCTCCGTGGTCTAGTGGGTAGACCCTGTGCCCGGAGAACAGAAGGTCAGGAGTTCGATCCCCAGAAGCGTCAAACCAAAAGACGATAAAAGATTATACTTGTTGTTACCCTGCCTGGCGCTCGGCATTAAGGGGCTAAAACAAGGACTTCTCGGATCGGAGTCAATATATTGTGTATGATAGGGGTATCCATGTTAAAATGTGGCATTTCTTAGTGGGCTAGCTCTAAAAAACTGGCATTAGTCCGGACAGGTGCACACACACACACACACACACACACACACACACACACGCGCGCACGCACGTCACTATGTACTAGTACTGTGCAATAACCTTGAACGCGACCTAAAACCCAATTTCACCTCACCTCCAATTTGGTGTCAGCATTTCTAAATGAAAATATACATACACTCTTCTAAAAAAGACAGGCACAGGTCGATTTTTAGTAAATTTATTTTGCCTAATAAAGTCGATATATTTAATTTATATCATAGATACCAATATGACATTTTGGAGCTCGATAGTCACATGTTGTCGTTGTGCAAAGGCATTGAAACCTGTTCATTGTCATGTCATATTAGGCCACAAAGTTGCGCGTATATCTTGTGACTGCTCTGTTCTGACGTTGACGTACACGTCGATCGAGTTCATCCCAGAGCTTTTCGATTGGGTTGAGATCTGGAGATCTCGACTGCCAGGGCAAGTCGTTGATGTTGGCATTGTGAAGGTAGTCTACCGTGACACGAGCTGTGTGCGGTGGAGTGTTGTCCTGTTGAAACAGCTACCTCTGGCGGTCACTTATTGGTAAAAGGTGAGCTTGAAGAATTTTATGTTGCGATTCATGTAGCGATTTGCTGTCAAATTTCCCTGAACCACAACCAAGTCAGACCTCGTGGTGTAGGGTATGGTCCCCCACACCATGACACTGCCGCCACCGAAATTGTCGAATTCACTTACACAGTGTGGGGTATAACGCTCATTTCGACGACGATAACACTGCAAACACGAAAACGTCGTTTTTTCATATATGGTCACTGGACGGGAAAACGACGTTTTTGAACGCTTTCAAACCATCGTTTTTTCCGTCCAAATGACGGCGATATTTACATCGGAAGTTACTGAGAGAGAGACAGAGAGAGCGATATCATCAAGCTCCCCCTTCTCTTGATTGACATTGACATTGTCAATCAAGCAACAGCTTTTATCGGTATTTCTACTTCTAAGATTTTCATTGGTCAGTTCTCGCGTGTTAGATTACAGGCCCGAGTTTGACGCTGTACTCGTAGCACTTAGCGGAAGTGCTGAATTCAATTGTTCTGCGTATTATTTAATGCCTTGTCCAAATTGCGAACTGTTTCTTTGGATTTAGTGACACCACTATTTGACAGTGATACATAAACACATTCTCATGATAAGGTCGAAATCGTTCAATGTCGCTTAAATTCATGGCACGTACTTGATCGGGTATTGGAAAACGATTAATACTTTAACAAGTTATATAATCGTCAAATACGCAAACTAATATCAACCTAAATCATTTATGTTTTGTAGACGCTGATCTTGGTGTGTATTTATATGCATATATATTTTTTCGATATTGCTTGGAATTAAGGAAACTATGTTTATTTATAATTTTAAGGTTCGTCTACTTTCTCATTTGCACATGACACTTTAAAACAGTGATATTCTTAATGTTATAATGTAGGCGACAATGTTTTGCTATTGTAAACAAATTAATGTCCAATTCCAAACTGGTGATGCCTTTTTAGACTGATGCTTAGTCTCTAAAAATATACAACTCCATATAACTCCAAATAACTCCATTCAAATTGAAGAGGAGCCCCAGTGAGATTTGAGAATCAGAGATGAACCTGGGGAAAATCTAACTTGCTTCATATAGGGCCTTTGTATTATAGAAAGGGCTGAGCGAAAGGGAAAATGATCTGTTTAGAGACAGACAAGTGTCAATTCTATGGATATCTAGGCTGCCACCCACCGATCCATACGGGATCCGAAAGCTTATTGTATGCTATGTAGTCATATAAAAGTGGACCAGAATTATACATTGTTTTGCGCGCGATTGTGTTCTTACATTTACTTTTAAGTCAGGAAAAAAGAAGAATTGTTAAATTTAACAGTTGAACTTCTTAATGACATTGTAAAATTCCTGGCTGCTCCTCTATCTATGATGTTTAGACGGAGTAAATCTATTGTGTCATATATAATCTCTGTTTACTGATATCTAATATGCAAATATTGTAAAATATTTACGATGTTTTAAACGTGTAATTGGATTTGGTTTTGTTTATTTGTTGTTTAACGCTGCACTCAGCAATATTCAAGCTATATGACGGTGGTCTGTAACTAATCGAGTCAGGACCAGACAATCCAGTGATTGAAATCATGAGCATCGATCCCCACAATTGGGATAGATGACATGCATCAACCAAGTTAGCGAGCCTGACCACCCGATCCCGTTAGTCGCCTCTTACGACAAGCATGAGTTGCTGAAGACCTATTCTACCCCGGATCTTCACGGGTAGGAAGTTCGTGTATCTCACATAACAGATAGACTAGGCATTCCTGCAATTCCAAAGTAACACTGCATGGCTAAAGTACGAAGTTTGACTTCGTATTCTTGAAGATACCACAAACAGACAGTCAAATATATGAAACAATGTGCAATAAAACGCCCAATCATAAAAATCGCTGATACACCTCTTTCCCCGTTTGCAAAATAGTTATCTTTCTTCAGCTTGAAAGAAAAACAGGACCTGTTATTTTATTCAAAACATAACATTGACGCTTAATTGTAGAATTATTGAATCTATATATACTATAGATAATGGTTCCAAGGCTGCAAGAAACTAGGTTGACATGATGACATAGTACAGCTGTATGTCTTATCTCCTTCCCAGTCCACCACGTCTGTGATAGTGAAAAACATTCACCAAAAAAGGCAGCCATGTTGTGGCACCGCTTGACGGTTGTGCTGATTCTAGTAAGTACACACGTCCATTGCAAAAGGAAAAATGTATTATTTCTTGTGGCAGATGACATGAGACCAGATCTGGATGTATATCAAGGAAGAGACTCTCCCTCCCCCGTCAGAGAGAAGGTCCACGCCCCAAACTTGAACTCTCTGGCAGGGAAGAGCCTTCTCCTCCGTCGTGCTTACGTCCAGCAGTCAGTGTGTTCTCCCAGCCGCACCTCCCTCCTCACTGGGCGCCGTCCTGACACCACCCACGTGTACGACCTTCACACCTACTGGAGGAAGGCTGCTGGCAACTTCACAACCTTACCCGAGTACTTCAAAAGACATGGCTACAATACCCTAGGCTTTGGGAAGATCTTCCATCACGGAGACGCATCGGGAGATAATGATCCAGTGTCATGGTCGGAGCCATGCTATGAAACCAGACCAAAGGTGAATAGCTTTGCTGATGATGGGAATTCATGGCGCGCGGTACCAACGTCTCTCTTAAACAGCAATTCCCTCCAAGACACCGTCACTACAGACATGGCAATTCAGAAGTTGAAGTCCATTGCACCGAAAGCTCGATCTGGACAGGAACCCTTCTTTTTAGCAGTTGGTTATCACAAGCCACATCTTCCATTTGTCTTCCCGGAGAAGTTTCTAAGCTACTACCCAGATCAATCCATTCACGTACCTCCCAATCAGTACGCCCCTCTGGACATGCCCTCTCTCGCTTGGATCACGTACCCAGAGCTGCGGTATTACAAAGACATTGCTGCTCTGAATGCAACAGGGGCGCCCAATACAACCCTGCCAGCCAATGTAGTAAAGAACCTGAGACGAGCCTACTACAGCTGCATCTCCTACATTGATTAGGAACTGGGAAGGGTCCTAGCAGAACTGGAACACCAAGGCCTGGCAAATGACACAATCATATCCTTCTTTGGGGACCATGGATGGCAGTTAGGTGAACACGGGTTGTGGACCAAACACACCAACTTCGACATAGCTACCCATGCCCCTATGATGATACATATTCCCGGACTCACCGATCAAGGAATACCGACAGAAGAGCTTGTGGAGTTTGTGGACCTGTTCCCTACACTGGTTGAGGCAGCTGGTCTGCCGTCTCTTCACGTCTGTCCTGAAGATTCCTCCAAGGTGGACGTGTGCGCAAAAGGACAGAGCTTCCTCCCTTTGATCGAGCAGCCCAAAACTGATAATTGGAAGAAGGCTGCCTTTTCCCAATATCCAAGACACTCCCATGGTCGCCACAAGCTGATGGGTTACTCGATGACGACCGGTCGTTATCGCTATACCGAGTGGGTCGGATTTGATGCTACTCATTACAAACCCAAGTGGTCAGTGTCTTCTGGTGCGGAGCTGTACGACCATTATCAGGATCCACAAGAGAACATCAACTTGGTTCATGACCCTGCCCACAAAGACCTGGTGGTCAAGCTCAGCCATCGTCTTCACGCAGGATGGAGGCATGAGTTGACAACTCAACATGTACCGTCTATTATTGGGTAACTTTCGAGTAATAAATAACTGAAACTGGTTTCACAGTTTTTCTATATTAGTAGTAGAAGGACATGCGTGAGTGAGTGAGTGATGCCACTGAAAGAAGTGAGTGAGTGAGTTTGGATTGATGGCGTTTGAACAGTAGTTCAGTTACATCATGATGTGACAGTTTGATGTGGGAGACCCGAAATGATGCAAGTCTTTGTCGTGTAACACTTGATTGATTGAGTGAGTGAGTCAGTTGGGTTTTCCGCGCTTTTAGCAATATTCCAGCCTACCACGGCGGGGTACACCAGAAATGGGGTTGACACATTGTACCTGTGTCAGGAATCGAACCCGGGCCCCGGACGTGACGAGCGAATGCTTTAACCACTAGGCTACCCGTCCGCCCCATAACTTGAGTGAAATCCACGAGCACAGGTATGGTGCTGGCAGTAATAAATGAGGTGTGGTGTTAAACGTCGTGTTCAATAGTGTTACACTAACATAGGGACGTGCATGCACGTGTCTGTTGCTACTTGAACCAGTCTGGACTTATGCAGGTTTTATAGCGCTTGCCCACTGAGACACCATGCCACAGTTTAACATGGATATCCCATTTAGACACATTATAACGTTTTTTGGTATGACGTGGCAGGGACACACAAACACACACACACACACACACACACACACACACACACACACACACACACACACACACACACACACACACACACACAAGCACACACGCTGATTCGAGATTCGAGATTCAGATAGTTTTGTAATAACCATGCTCGAAATTACATTTTCGATGTCAGTGATGTCAAAAATAAGTGATTTCTCAAATGAACAGATTTAATACAATACCGTTCAACCTATGGTGGGTCTGCCATGATCACCCGTCATCTCGGCTCTCCATCCAGCACGTAGTTGCCCCCTCAACCGGCTGCGAAGTCCTTGTTGGGCAGCATTGAGCGCGAGGTTGTGATTCTCCTCAGGATCAGCCAGATGGTCGTACAGCTCCACTCCATGAAGCTGGTCCCACTGAGGCATGTAGTGGGGCTTGCTGAGGAACGTCACCCATTCAGTGTAGCGATACCTGGCCGTGGTGATCGTGTAGCCCATGGCTGACGTGTTGTTATACACTCGTGGGTACTGCGAGAGGGCTGCGGTTTTCCACGAGGGCAGATTTGGGTGCTGCAGCAGAGGAACTAGACTCCTTCCTTCTGTGCAGTCTTGAGTTGAGGACGAGTCTACTTGACACGTAGGCAGTGTGGGAAGACCTGCTGCTTCTACTAGAGTTGGGAACAGGTCTACAAACTCTGTCAGCTTTGTTGTGCTCATCCCATGGTCCGTCATCCCTGGGACACGGATCATAAGAGGCGAGTGGGTGGCGATGTCAAAATTGGTCTGTTTGCACCATTCCCCGTGTTCTCCCAACTGCCAGCCATGATCGCCAAAAAATGACACTATCGTGTTGTCAGCTAGACCCTGATTCTCCAGTTCATCTAGAACCCTCCCGAGTTCAAAGTCCATGAAGCTAACAGCGCTGTAGTAGGCTCTGCGCAGTTGTTTAACCACCTGGTCAGGCAAGGTCGTGTTTGGGTTGCCGGATGCATTCAGTCGGGCTATGTCAGCGTAGCCCCTAAGTTCATTATATGATCTCCAGGCAATATCAGGCATGCCGTCAGGAGCTTGTGGGTTGGGTGGAAGATGGATTGAGTCTTCTGAGTAATAATCCAGAAAGCGAGCTGGGAATTGGAACGGCAAATGGGGCTTGTGGAACCCAACTGCCAGGAAGAAATTCTCGCCATTCTTTGCCTTTTGGGTGATGTCCTTAATGACTTGCACTGCGTGGTCGGCTAGCATCGTGTCCTGCAGGGCATTGTGGCTGTCCAAAAGATTATCCGGTACTGCTTCCCAACTTGACCCGTAATTACTGGGTTAAGAGTCATCATAATATGTCTCAGACCACGAGGCAGGATCATTTCCTCCTGAAGCCTTGCCCGGGTGGAATATTTTACCAGCTCCAATGCTGTGGTAGCCGTGGTTCTTGAAGAACTGGGGAATGGTCGTGAAGTTACCGGCAGCGTCTCTAAAGTAGGTGTTAGAGTCATACACGTGGGTGGTGTCAGGACGGCGCCCAGTCAGCAGGGAGGTACGGCTCGGGGAGCATAGAGCCTGCTGGGTATATGCCCTCTTGAAGACCATGCTTTTACTGGCGAGGCCTGCTAGATTCGGGGCGTGAATTGGTGGATGGACTTGAGATGGACGGTAGCGGCCATTGTACATGGGCAGCTCTGGACGCAGGTCATCGGCGACCAGGAACAAGACGTTCATCCGGGCGCTGACGCAGGAGATGAAGCAGACGACATATATTCCAAGCTCCATGTTTGCGTCTTTTCTGTCGTTGGACGATTTAATTGTGTGACAGGTTTAAGGTTACAGTCAAACAAGACCATCTTATATACCTTGTCACGATATAGGATTGTCTTGTGCCGAACAAAAACGTAGGGCACATGTCTGCATACGTACGAAATGATAACGTCTTCAGTTATAAGGTCAGTTAAGTCAGTTATTAGGTTAGGAGATTATTCAGAATATGTTTGATTCCTCAGATATTATCTTATTTGACTAACTTTGATGAGCTCAAACTAAAATATATTATTGTTTTGCAATGTTAATTGACTGATTGTTTTATATAGTTCGAAAGAGAGCGAGAGGAAAGAGAGCGGGAGAGAGAGAAGGACATATAGAGGGCGGAGAGCGAGAGGAGAGAGAGAAAGAGAGAAGGGAGATAGAGAATTGAAATAGCGCGAGAGAGAGTAAGAGGAGAGAGAGCGAGGGAGAGAAGGGAGTTAGAGAATGAGGAGAGCGAGAGAGAGCGATAGAGAGAGAAGGAGATAGAGCGTGAGTGAGAGAGGGGGAGAGAGAAAGAGAGAGGGGAGATAGAGAGTGGAGAGAGCGAGAGAGAGAGTGTGTGGGCGGAGAGAGAGAAAAGGGAGATAGAGGATGGAGAGCGAAAGAGGGCGAGTGGTGAGAGAGAGAGAGAAAGAGAGAGAAGGGAGATAGATAATTGAAATAGCGAGTGAGAGTGAGAGGAGAGAGAGAGAAGGGAGTTAGGGAATGGGAAGAGCGAGAGAGAGGGCGATAGAGAGAGAGGGGGAGATAGAGTGGAGAAAGAGAGAAGGAGAGGGGGAGATAGAGAGAGAGAACTAACACGACGATGGACCGTTGGGCCTCCCAAGGCCAACATTCACCATTCAATTTGGCATTAACATTAACAACAATAGCCATGTGTATATGTATATGAAAGTGTGATGCAACGTTCAGTGCTCCAGACCACAGGACCAACCATGTCCTCGGGAGGAGAGAAAGTTAGTCTGAACGAGGGATGGAGACAGAGCAGACAAAGGAGAGATGCACGTTCTAGAAACAACGGAGGATAGCGTATGTGCACATGTTGTTTGCACAAAGGATGATTTAGTGAGCTTGGGAAAGACTTTGTTCGATCAAAGCAAACTTCACGAATAAACCTCAAATATTAACCAGTGTATTAATGAAGTAATACAGCCATTAGAATGTTTCGCTTTTAACATATTTAATTTGGAGTCTCTGTATCTGACCTGTTTACTTGGTAGCTTGTATTCGTTAATCTGAAGTTATCTGGTTTATTGATGAATCACTGTATTCACGAACGCACATGGTTGATGAATTAATTGCAATTACTTTAAAAGTACCTTTCTCATATTCAAAACTTACCATTTGAAAGGCACAAAACAAATATTTGACATGCATAATATGAGTCACGGGCCACCTGTTGGTGATGGAGGGAAGGGGAGGAGAGGGGGGGGGGGGGGGGGGGGGCGGGGGCAGGGACATGGCAGTTGATGGAGTGGACTAGCGGGGTGCGGAGGAGGGACTGACTGGGTAGATTAAACATCCACAGAATATACAACGCTTTCCATTCACAATATATCACATAAAATGTAATATATTATTCGTCGTTTTGAATACCACACAAAGGCGTTCATATATAACAGTATAACCCAGTGTTCCATCCTATACAACTCCACCAAACAAACACAACGAACACTGATAAACCCCCTTGTAGCGGCAGCGACTGCGTATCTTCGCGACTGGTTCTGGGTACGCATGACGGAGCGTCAGTCACTTTGAACGCGCGAGAGGTGCAAAAGAAGGGGGTCGGTGACATGTTTACCGCGCAATAAGATATGCTTTTATTTCGAACGATGAAGGAAATGACAGTTTGTAAATCTTATGAGTCATATTCTCCTGGATGTACAAGCTGCTGAAACAGTCACGTCACATATATTCCAGATCGGCTTCACTGGCAAGGTAGGTACTTATTCTATCTTATGTGGCAGGCATATATTTTGAATATTGTAAATAAGTAAATACATAAATGATCTCTGTGTAGTGTATGGAATCCTAATTCATCGCTGTGTGTTTGATGCTGTCCACTACAGTGAGAAACAGATGGTTGATTAAATACCTTTAACATTACAACACTCCATACAGATCAATAGAAAATACGTAAAGATTAATAGTAAATAGGTTCAATTGTACAACACCTCATACAGATCAATAGAAAATACGTTCAATTGTACAAAAACATGTATATATCAATAGTGAATAAGATGGGGGACATCGCCGAAATCATGGCTGATTGTATTGCAAAATACAATCTTGTAATTGCGGGTGTTCTCGGTAGTATATGATGCTACAGTGTGTCATACTGTTGTCCGTAAATATTCTTTTTCACATTTGATGTATGATCAATTTGAATTGTGTCTCTTGTCTTATGCAAAGTATATGTACTTGCATATAGTAATTTGATAAACACCGCTGTGAGTGAGTGAGAATGCTTTTACGTCGCTTTTTAACAATAATCCAGCAATACCACGGCGGGGAACACCAGAAATGGGTTTCACACATTGTACCCATGTGGGGATTTGAACTGGGTCTTCGGCTTGACGAGCGAACGCTTTAACCACTGAGCTATCCCACTGCCCCCGTCGCTGTGGTGTTATCAAAGTTGGTATGTCTACTTGTGTAAACTACACATAAGGAGAGACATCGTAATTAGTGTGGCCACATAGTTAACGTTGATAACGATATGAAGGACGTTACTATGATTATCTTTAACATATGTTAAATCATCTATCATTGTAAGATTTGATGTTTATCTTAAGTATAGTTTTGTCGAAATTATATATGTGTGTGTGTGTCTGACTCATTGTCTGCGAACATAGGTGTCGGATAACTCCATAACTCACATCAGAGCGCACAGTTGTTAATAATTGTTACATAAATATGTATATTCCTTCTTGAGCCTATACTATAATCGGATATCTAGTCTCCCCCAGCGGGAAAGTTACAAGCACTTTAGCATACAATGTAATTCCCGAAGACAGTTTGATCGAAAGGAATTAAAAGAAACATGTTGTTTTAAAATAATATTTACAACGCATTTCATTTCTATTGTCCAAGGAATGTGGTTACGGGTTAATGACGCTCTCAAAAGTCGTATATGTGACTTAAGGTAGAGACATATATCTTATCGATCTGTATTTAGTGAGGGAACCATAACTGTGTACTTGTATAACATTTGTCTGCATAATGTACATGCATCTTTATCAATATAACTGTCATCCCGAAATCTGACGAGCACACATTCGGCTTCAACTCAAAATCTGATGACCGACAAAATAATTCTTTGGACGTTGCAAAGAACAAATAGTGGCTGATAAAACGGACAATTATTTGTCAATCGCTTTCTCGCTCTATCGCTTTTTCAAATGAGTAACCATAGTCATATGAAAGAATCGGGTGTTTTTTAAGTTCTTTTGAATAGTAGGTACTGTAAATCTTGAAATTTACGTTAGAGTTAATTATAACTGCAAAAAAATGAGAGTAGACTTAATTAATTAAACTTTGCATTTATGCCTCAGAAATGACTGCTGATAAGACGGTCTCTCTGCACACTTTGAATAGCGGAAATACCAACTTGAATATAAAACCAATCAACTATTTATTCCCACATTACGGTTTACTGAGAATAATTTGTCATTCAAACACAAGAAATTACATATGGACATCCGGTAGTATTACCATTGCTTGGGTGAGGACTTCCAGTTTGATGACATCTACTCCGCTACGAGAAGAAACATTAACATGACCTAAGTGTTGTTTTTAGGAAAACACTCTTGTTTTGGGGGAAGTACTCTACTCGGTGCTAATAAGCGGTGTTATTTGGTGTTTGTTTTGATACCTAGGCCTGGGGGCGGGGGTCCAAAAAAAACTCCTAAATGAGGCAGTATTAAATCAAATACCTTTTTTACGCAGCAATCCCTGGATTGTTATAAAATCACCTACGTCTGTACTGTTATATTATCTTTAAGTAGATAGTGAGAAAATTTCAACATTCCATCCATATGTATAATTTGAAATGTGACTGGAAACATCTCAGCTCTCTTTTATGATTAAAACCCACCTCAGCCTCCGCCCACTGAGGTCAGGTTCAACAATTCATTAATGTTGTTTTACGTATATACTTTTTATCGTATAGAAACACATAACACATGCGACCCCTATAGTGGCCAAGAGGGGATATTGCTAAATCGCGAGAAAGCGACAGGGAAAGAAAGCGATAGAGCGATAAAGCGAAAAAGCGAAAAAGCGAGAAAGCGATGTCCCCTCTCGGCCACCATAAGCATGGGTTGCTGAAGACCTTTTCTACCCCAAACCTTCACGGGTCGGGGAAACGAGATGAGTTTTTACGAACGTGTAAAGGCAATTGATCATACCGATGAGTTAATACATGTTGCAACTGCAAAATTAATTTTCGAAGACAGCGTTCCAACTTAAGAGAATACAAACTTTTTAATAGTCTTGTCATTTTTAACAAGCAAAGACATACTTTTACTGGACTAACTGAGGCCACTAACCCGTGTCTACGGCGACCAGTGGTCTAACGCTGGGGAAGAACATTACGGTTCATGCCACGGCAAGAATCAATCGGTCGTGGGTTCGAATCCTAGATTCGAAACGATTACGATCCTTGATTCGTGGGCATCAAACGCATGACTGGGGGTTTAACGAAGATGGCGCCTTCCACATGTTTCATTTTTAGTCTTTCTTGTCACGTTCAACAGCTATAACTGAAACATGGCGGTGTTGAACCCAAATCTGTAATAAACTATGTCATGTTGTTCTACACGGGATGTATGTGCGCTACAGCTAAGATATATCGGTCGGCTATAGCTATTAAATGAATGAATTGCATGACGTTTCAAAAGTTTACACACTCCATTAAAACAAATGTATCGGCCAAATCGCTTTCAAATAAAATTAATTTGGCGCCAAGTAGAAACAACTCTTTGAGAGAAAGCATAAAATACACAGTGTAAATATATGAAATACACAAAGCAAATACATCTTGTTGACGTTCTAAACCGAAGATTTTGATACAGGATAGACAGAAACCATTACAGTCTAGAGTATTTTGACATGGTTTACGGAGGAAGTATCTACAAGAGATGTAAGCCGAATTCGACAGATGGAATTCTGATTATTCTGAAACCACACTATTGAAATAAACTGAACACGTCAATTCTTGAAGGAGCTAAGCGGAGCTGTGCTTCCCCGTGCAACGCGCTTTAACACAACCTTTTCATCATCGCTTTACACCCACTTCCAACAATCACATTCCGCAGTGGAAAGTAGTCCGCTGTTTGCTCAGAGTAATCAAATTTCTTTCGGGCGGCACGTAAAGAGACGAGGGCCACTTTATGAGAGAAGCACGCGGATGAGATTGGGGGGAGGGGAAATCAACACACATGCTTTTATGGATGATAGTTTGATCGTGAAAATTGAGGAAAAACATCACCTCAGATCAAGGTACCACGGTGATCATAATTACAATGTTAATGATGTCCCAAAATTAGGAATGCTTTCATGTATAATAAAATAGCTATGCTTTTGACGTCTTGATAGAGTTGATATGACGTTAGGGCAACTTGATAAAATGATTAATTGTACAGCGAATTATGCCTGATGACCCAGGCCACCCAATCTCCAATTTGATGTGATCGCCTCCGTGGTCTAGTGGGTAGACCCTGTGCCCGGAGAACAGAAGGTCAGGAGTTCGATCCCCAGAAGCGTCAAACCAAAAGACGATAAAAGATTATACTTGTTGTTACCCTGCCTGGCGCTCGGCATTAAGGGGCTAAAACAAGGACTTCTCGGATCGGAGTCAATATATTGTGTATGATAGGGGTATCCATGTTAAAATGTGGCATTTCTTAGTGGGCTAGCTCTAAAAAACTGGCATTAGTCCGGACAGGTGCACACACACACACACACACACACGCGCACGCACGTCACTATGTACTAGTACTGTGCAATAACCTTGAACGCGACCTAAAACCCAATTTCACCTCACCTCCAATTTGGTGTCAGCATTTCTAAATGAAAATATACATACACTCTTCTAAAAAAGACAGGCACAGGTCGATTTTTAGTAAATTTATTTTGCCTAATAAAGTCGATATATTTAATTTTATATCATAGATACCAATATGACATTTTGGAGCTCGATAGTCACATGTTGTCGTTGTGCAAAGGCATTGAAACCTGTTCATTGTCATGTCATATTAGGCCACAAAGTTGCGCGTATATCTTGTGACTGCTCTGTTCTGACGTTGACGTACACGTCGATCGAGTTCATCCCAGAGCTGTTCGATTGGGTTGAGATCTGGAGATCTCGACTGCCAGGGCAAGTCGTTGATGTTGGCATTGTGAAGGTAGTCTACCGTGACACGAGCTGTGTGCGGTGGAGTGTTGTCCTGTTGAAACAGCTACCTCTGGCGGTCAATTATTGGTAAAAGGTGAGCTTGAAGAATTTTATGTTGCGATTCATGTAGCGATTTGCTGTCAAATTTCCCTGAAACCACAACCAAGTCAGACCTCGTGGTGTAGGGTATGGTCCCCCACACCATGACACTGCCGCCACCGAAATTGTCGAATTCACTTACACAGTGTGGGGTATAACGCTCATTTCGACGACGATAACACTGCAAACACGAAAACGTCGTTTTTTCGTATATGGTCACTGGACGGGAAAACGACGTTTTTGAACGCTTTCAAACCATCGTTTTTTCCGTCCAAATGACGGCGATATTTACATCGGAAGTTACTGAGAGAGAGACAGAGAGAGCGATATCATCAAGCTCCCCCTTCTCTTGATTGACATTGACATTGTCAATCAAGCAACAGCTTCTATCGGTATTTCTACTTCTAAGATTTTCATTGGTCAGTTCTCGCGTGTTAGATTACAGGCCCGAGTTTGACGCTGTACTCGTAGCACTTAGCGGAAGTGCTGAATTCAATCGTTCTGCGTATTATTTAATGCCTTGTCCAAATTGCGAACTGTTTCTTTGGATTTAGTGACACCACTATTTGACAGTGATACATAAACACATTCTCATGATAAGGTCGAAATCGTTCAATGTCGCTTAAATTCATGGCACGTACTTGATCGGGTATTGGAAAACGATTAATACTTTAACAAGTTATATAATCGTCAAATACACAAACTAATATCAACCTAAATCATTTATGTTTTGTAGACGCTGATCTTGGTGTGTATTTATATGCATATATATTTTTTCGATATTGCTTGGAATTAAGGAAACTATGTTTATTTATAATTTTAAGGTTCGTCTACTTTCTCATTTGCACATGACACTTTAAAACAGTGATATTCTTAATGTTATAATGTAGGCGACAATGTTTTGCTATTGTAAACAAATTAATGTCCAATTCCAAACTGGTGATGCCTTTTTAGACTGATGCTTAGTCTCTAAAAATATACAACTCCATATAACTCCAAATAACTCCATTCAAATTGAAGAGGAGCCCCAGTGAGATTTGAGAATCAGAGATGAACCTGGGGAAAATCTAACTTGCTTCATATAGGGCCTTTGTGTCATAGAAAGGGCTGAGCGAAAGGGAAAATGATCTGTTTAGAGACAGACAAGTGTCAATTCTATGGATATCTAGGCTGCCACCCAAACCGATCCATACGGGATCCGAAAGCTTATTGTATACTATGTAGTCATATGGAAGTGGACCAGAATTATACATTGTTTTGCGCGCGATTGTGTTCTTACATTTACTTTTAAGTCAGGAAAAATGTTTTAAAAGAAGAATTGTTAAATTTAACAGTTGAACTTCTTAATGACATTGTAAAATTCCTGGCTGCTCCTCTATCTATGATGTTTAGACGGAGTAAATCTATTGTGTCATATATAATCTCTGTTTACTGATATCTAATATGCAAATATTGTAAAATATTTACGATGTTTTAAACGTGTATTTGGATTTGGTTTTGTTTATTTGTTGTTTAACGCTGCACTCAGCAATATTCAAGCTATATGACGGTGGTCTGTAACTAATCGAGTCAGGACCAGACAATCAAGTGATTGAAATCATGTGCATCGATCCCCACAATTGGGATAGATGACATGCATCAACCAAGTTAGCGAGCCTGACCACCCGATCCCGTTAGTCGCCTCTTACGACAAGCATGAGTTGCTGAAGACCTATTCTACCCCGGATCTTCACGGGTAGGAAGTTCGTGTATCTCACATAACAGATAGACTAGGCATTCCTGCAATTCCAAAGTAACACTGCATGGCTAAAGTACGAAGTTTGACTTCGTATTCTTGAAGATACAACAAACAGACAGTCAAATATATGAAACAATGTGCAATAAAACGCCCAATCATAAAAATCGCTGATACACCTCTTTCCTGGTTTGCAAAATAGTTATCTTTCTTCAGCTTGAAAGAAAAACAGGACCTGTTATTTTATTCAAAACATAACATTGACGCTTAATTGTAGAATTATTGAATCTATATATACTATAGATAATGGTTCCAAGGCTGCAAGAAACTAGGTTGACATGGTGACATAGTACAGCTGTATGTCTTATCTCCTTCCCAGTCCACCACGTCTGTGATAGTGAAAAACATTCACCAAAAAAGGCAGCCATGTTGTGGCACCGCTTGACGGTTGTGCTGATTCTAGTAAGTACACACGTCCATTGCAAAAGGAAAAATGTATTATTTCTTGTGGCAGATGACATGAGACCAGATCTGGATGTATATCAAGGAAGAGACTCTCCCTCCCCCGTCAGAGAGAAGGTCCACGCCCCAAACTTGAACTCTCTGGCAGGGAAGAGCCTTCTCCTCCGTCGTGCTTACGTCCAGCAGTCAGTGTGTTCTCCCAGCCGCACCTCCCTCCTCACTGGGCGCCGTCCTGACACCACCCACGTGTACGACCTTCACACCTACTGGAGGAAGGCTGCTGGCAACTTCACAACCTTACCCGAGTACTTCAAAAGACATGGCTACAATACCCTAGGCTTTGGGAAGATCTTCCATCACGGAGACGCATCGGGAGATAATGATCCAGTGTCATGGTCGGAGCCATGCTATGAAACCAGACCAAAGGTGAATAGCTTTGCGGATGATGGGAATTCATGGCGCGCGGTACCAACGTCTCTCTTAAACAGCAATTCCCTCCAAGACACCGTCACTACAGACATGGCAATTCAGAAGTTGAAGTCCATTGCACCGAAAGCTCGATCTGGACAGGAACCCTTCTTTTTAGCAGTTGGTTATCACAAGCCACATCTTCCATTTGTCTTCCCGGAGACGTTTCTAAGCTACTACCCAGATCAATCCATTCACGTACCTCCCAATCAGTACGCCCCTCTGGACATGCCCTCTCTCGCTTGGATCACGTACCCAGAGCTGCGGTATTACAAAGACATTGCTGCTCTGAATGCAACAGGGGCGCCCAATACAACCCTGCCAGCCAATGTAGTAAAGAACCTGAGACGAGCCTACTACAGCTGCATCTCCTACATTGATGAGGAACTGGGAAGGGTCCTAGCAGAACTGGAACACCAAGGCCTGGCAAATGACACAATCATATCCTTCTTTGGGGACCATGGATGGCAGTTAGGTGAACACGGGTTGTGGACCAAACACACCAACTTCGACATAGCTACCCATGCCCCTATGATGATACATATTCCCGGACTCACCGACCAAGGAATACCGACAGAAGAGCTTGTGGAGTTTGTGGACCTGTTCCCTACACTGGTTGAGGCAGCTGGTCTGCCGTCTCTTCACGTCTGTCCTGAAGATTCCTCCAAGGTGGACGTGTGCACAGAAGGACAGAGCTTCCTCCCTTTGATCGAGCAGCCCAAAACTGATAATTGGAAGAAGGCTGCCTTTTCCCAATATCCAAGACACTCCCATGGTCGCCACAAGCTGATGGGTTACTCGATGACGACCGGTCGTTATCGCTATACCGAGTGGGTCGGATTTGATGCTACTCATTACAAACCCAAGTGGTCAGTGTCTTCTGGTGCGGAGCTGTACGACCATTATCAGGATCCACAAGAGAACATCAACTTGGTTCATGACCCTGCCCACAAAGACCTGGTGGTCAAGCTCAGCCATCGTCTTCACGCAGGATGGAGGCATGAGTTGACAACTCAACATGTACCGTCTATTATTGGGTAACTTTCGAGTAATAAATAACTGAAACTGGTTTCACAGTTTTTCTATATTAGTAGTAGAAGGACATGCGTGAGTGAGTGAGTGATGCCACTGAAAGAAGTGAGTGAGTGAGTTTGGATTGATGGCGTTTGAACAGTAGTTCAGTTACATCATGATGTGACAGTTTGATGTGGGAGACCCGAAATGATGCAAGTCTTTGTCGTGTAACACTTGATTGATTGAGTGAGTGAGTCAGTTGGATTTTCCGCGCTTTTAGCAATATTCCAGCCTACCACGGCGGGGTACACCAGAAATGGGGTTGACACATTGTACCTGTGTCAGGAATCGAACCCGGGCCCCGGACGTGACGAGCGAATGCTTTAACCACTAGGCTACCCGTCTGCCCCATAACTTGAGTGAAATCCACGAGCACAGGTATGGTGCTGGCAGTAATAAATGAGGTGTGGTGTTAAACGTCGTGTTCAATAGTGTTACACTAACATAGGGACGTGCATGCACGTGTCTGTTGCTACTTGAACCAGTCTGGACTTATGCAGGTTTTATAGCGCTTGCCCACTGAGACACCATGCCACAGTTTAACATGGATATCCCATTCAGACACATTATAACGTTTTTTGGTATGACGTGGCAGGGACACACACACACACACACACACACACACACACACACACACACACACACACACACACACACACACACACACACACACACACACACACACACACACACACACACACACACACACACACACACACACACAAAAGCACACACAAAAGCACACACAAAAGCACTCACAAAAGCACTCACACACACACACACAAAAGCACACACACACACACACACACACACACACACAAGCACACACGCTGATTCGAGATTCGAGATTCAGATAGTTTTGTAATAACCATGCTCGAAATTACATTTTCGATGTCAGTGATGTCAAAAATAAGTGATTTCTCAAATGAACAGATTTAATACAATACCGTTCAACCTATGGTGGGTCTGCCATGACCACCCGTCATCTCGGCTCTCCATCCAGCACGTAGTTGCCCCCTCAACCGGCTGCGAAGTCCTTGTTGGGCAGCATTGAGCGCGAGGTTGTGATTCTCCTCAGGATCAGCCAGATGGTCGTACAGCTCCACTCCATGAAGCTGGTCCCACTGAGGCATGTAGTGGGGCTTGCTGAGGAACGTCACCCATTCAGTGTAGCGATACCTGGCCGTGGTGATCGTGTAGCCCATGGCTGACGTGTTGTTATACACTCGTGGGTACTGCGAGAAGGCTGCGGTTTTCCACGAGGGCAGATTTGGGTGCTGCAGCAGAGGAACTAGACTCCTTCCTTCTGTGCAGTCTTGAGTTGAGGATGAGTCCACTTGACACGTAGGCAGTGTGGGAAGACCTGCTGCTTCTACTAGAGTTGGGAACAGGTCTACAAACTCTGTCAGCTTTGTTGTGCTCATCCCATGGTCCGTCATCCCTGGGACGCGGATCATAAGAGGCGAGTGGGTGGCGATGTCAAAATTGGTCTGTTTGCACCATTCCCCGTGTTCTCCCAACTGCCAGCCATGATCGCCAAAAAATGACACTATCGTGTTGTCAGCTAGACCCTGATTCTCCAGTTCATCTAGAACCCTCCCGAGTTCAAAGTCCATGAAGCTAACAGCGCTGTAGTAGGCTCTGCGCAGTTGTTTAACCACCTGGTCAGGCAAGGTCGTGTTTGGGTTGCCGGATGCATTCAGTCGGGCTATGTCAGCGTAGCCCCTAAGTTCATTATATGATCTCCAGGCAATATCAGGCATGCCGTCAGGAGCTTGTGGGTTGGGTGGAAGATGGATTGAGTCTTCTGAGTAATAATCCAGAAATCGAGCTGGGAATTGGAACGGCAAATGGGGCTTGTGGAACCCAACTGCCAGGAAGAAATTCTCGCCATTCTTTGCCTTTTGGGTGATGTCCTTAATGACTTGCACTGCGTGGTCGGCTAGCATCGTGTCCTGCAGGGCATTGTGGCTGTCCAAAAGATTATCCGGTACTGCTTCCCAACTTGACCCGTAATTACTGGGTTAAGAGTCATCATAATATGTCTCAGACCACGAGGCAGGATCATTTCCTCCTGAAGCCTTGCCCGGGTGGAATATTTACCAGCTCCAATGCTGTGGTAGCCGTGGTTCTTGAAGAACTGGGGAATGGTCGTGAAGTTACCGGCAGCGTCTCTAAAGTAGGTGTTAGAGTCATACACGTGGGTGGTGTCAGGACGGCGCCCAGTCAGCAGGGAGGTGCGGCTCGGGGAGCATAGAGCCTGCTGGGTATATGCCCTCTTGAAGACCATGCTTTTACTGGCGAGGCCTGCTAGATTCGGGGCGTGAATTGGTGGATGGACTTGAGATGGACGGTAGCGGCCATTGTACATGGGCAGCTCTGGACGCAGGTCATCGGCGACCAGGGACAAGACGTTCATCCGGGCGCTGACGCAGGAGATGAAGCAGACGACATATATTCCAAGCTCCATGTTTGCGTCTTTTCTGTCGTTGGACGATTTAATTGTGTGACAGGTTTAAGGTTACAGTCAAACAAGACCATCTTATATACCTTGTCACGATATAGGATTGTCTTGTGCCGAACAAAAACGTAGGGCACATGTCTGCATACGTACGAAATGATAACGTCTTCAGTTATAAGGTCAGTTAAGTCAGTTATTAGGTTAGGAGATTATTCAGAATATGTTTGATTCCTCAGATATTATCTTATTTGACTAACTTTGATGAGCTCAAACTAAAATATATTATTGTTTTGCAATGTTAATTGACTGATTGTTTTATATAGTTCGTTTTAAATGCTCCTAACCGAGAAGTCATTTGAGAGAGAGAGAGAGAGAGAGAGAGAGAGAGAAAAGGGAGATAGAGGATGGAGAGCGAAAGAGGGCGAGTGGTGAGAGAGAGAGAGAAAGAGAGAGAAGGGAGATAGATAATTGAAATAGCGAGTGAGAGTGAGAGGAGAGAGAGAGAAGGGAGTTAGGGAATGGGAAGAGCGAGAGAGAGGGCGATAGAGAGAGAGGGGGAGATAGAGTGGAGAAAGAGAGAAGGAGAGGGGGAGATAGAGAGAGAGAACTAACACGACGATGGACCGTTGGGCCTCCCAAGGCCAACATTCACCATTCAATTTGGCATTAACATTAACAACAATAGCCATGTGTATATGTATATGAAAGTGTGATGCAACGTTCAGTGCTCCAGACCACAGGACCAACCATGTCCTCGGGAGGAGAGAAAGTTAGTCTGAACGAGGGATGGAGACAGAGCAGACAAAGGAGAGATGCACGTTCTAGAAACAACGGAGGATAGCGTATGTGCATATGTTGTTTGCACAAAGGATGATTTAGTGAGCTTGGGAAAGACTTTGTTCGATCAAAGCAAACTTCACGAATAAACCTCAAATATTAACCAGTGTATTAATGAAGTAATACAGCCATTAGAATGTTTCGCTTTTAACATATTTAATTTGGAGTCTCTGTATCTGACCTGTTTACTTGGTAGCTTGTATTCGTTAATCTGAAG